TCGGCTCGACTGAGACGGGCTATAGGGAATAGTCCCTACAGCAGCCCTTCGGTTCTACTGAACCAAAGGGGTCCTGGGGACGAAGCTAGCCGAAGGATCAGCCGAAGCTACGGCTAGATCCTTCGGCAGCTTTGTGAATAGACCCCATAATATACACAGCTTGAAACAGACTCTTTGTAATATACTGTGTATTGCTACTTGTGATCAGTATTTGTGGAGTTTATATAATGCTGTATTACTATCAACAAAAGGATACAGTTTGAGGTTTTGCGCCTGAGAGAAATTTTGGCTGTGCCTGGTCTTGGAGAGGGCACCTTTTTGTATATTTCCCTAAGCGTTAGGTCACGTGCTGTGGGTGAGTAGTTGTTTGCAATGGAATTGCTGGGGTTACGGTGAAAACGCTGCTCTTTGAAAGGGGCTGCCAAAGTCCACGACTGGCTTTGCATCAGTGGAGGGTAGATACTGTGCTTGAGGATCAACTGCAAAAGAACAGATAACAAATTATTTTATTTTTTTCAATTTTATGTAATAATCTTGGATATCAGTACAAATGTTAAACATTTCTATGCTACAGAATCACAGTAGGAGGACTGACATGCAACATAAAACTGAGATTCCAAGGCTTAAAGAAGTAAAAGTCCAAAGTAGGATATCTAGTATGGAGATATAATTATTGGAGTTTTAGAAAGGCATAAGTGCCCATGATTTAAACCATAAGCATCTATCTATAACCAAAATATAAAAGGCAGACTGACCCTTTAAGCATACTAAATTGCACTCATAATTTGGAAGCAAGGAAGCATTCAGTTTTTACATATGTTTAGCACTTTGATGATTTGCTATGCACAATACAGACAGTTCTTCAAATGTATAGATCAATTAAACATATCTTGGTTATACTGCATTTATAACTGATTTTTATAAACTTTGTAATTTTTTTAATATTTCTTTTTATTTATTAATTAATTTTTTGTTAAATATTTTTATTTTTTACTTTACTTTTAAGGGCTTTGGGGAAATATTAGAGTCCCCCATCTCATTTTCTGTATCCCCTGTTATCAGTGAACAGGAATCCTCTATACTGAGTGTTCCTGTTCATTGATAACTTGAGAACAGAGTATGTTAACTATAACTACAATTATGAATGAACAGAAGGCGATGTAGATCACTTCCCATTCATTCATAATTAGGGATATAGTCAACATACCATATCCTCAATTATCTACAAACACTCAGCAATCACTGTGTTTGCTCTCGCTCTCCTCTCTGACACGCTGTCACAGGAGGCTGAGCGAGCGGTGCAGGGAGGAGAGCTCAGCCTCCAGTGACAGCGCGGGCTGTCTCCGGCCCCACACCGCTCTGCCGGACTGTGATAGGCGGCTGAGCGGTGTGGGAGGAGAGGCACCGGCCGCTCACAGCGCTCTCCTCCCGCAGCGCTCGGCCGGCTGTCACTTTCTCTCCTCCCCCCGGGATACAGAGCAGGGCCCAGCGGGGAGGAAAGAAACCTGGGGTGCGCCTATGTATAGGCAGGAAAATTGCACTTTTGCCATTTAGCCAAAAGTGCCATTTTCGGCGGCTGATATATCGGTGCATCCCTACTGAAAACCTATCCAAAACTGACATTACAGTGTATCCTAATATTCGGTTATGAATTACTTTCCCTTTAAATGATGATTTAACAGTCTAATGTAAATGTGAAGCAGTTATTGTACGTTGATGTGAAAAGTTGAAGAGGACTGAACTGTCAAAGCTGTGCCCAGACAAGCAGAGGGCAAAGCACTAGTTGCCATAATGGATTGTAGGCTCCCTGCACCTAATCTTTTTCCCATTACTGACTTACCATACCCTGTTCTGTGATATTTGTTTAACAGATCAGAAGCGATCAGCACAATTCCGCCACAATTTATTTATTTGGTATAGTAAAAGCAGTCGAGAGCTCACTAAATCAATCGAATGGAGGGTCTTTGGTCTGTGACTTTTATCCAATTTATCAGTATTGTTGCATTAAATAAAGGACTGAATGATCATATTGATACATACAGTATGTGATCACCATTAGAACACACATTGCAGACATACAGCTTAATACAGATATACAGGCTTAAGGTGCAGGAAGTGCACAGATATTTTTCAGGAAGAAATCTAGATAAAAAGTAAATCTTTCAGGGTAATGATTGGGCACAATCAACATTTGTTAGGTGTTCCCTATACCAACAAATTATTAGTGTACTGAGCTATAAATACATATGAAGAGACTATTGATCAAAATAGTACAGTCTTTTAACCTCTAAAAAAAAGATCTGAAAGAAGTACAACGTGGTTTCTTTTTCACTTTGATTAAATCTCACCCATTGCTCATACTGTCCTTTAGAGACTAATTTGGAGATAAGTCGCTTTAAACTCCTTCAGTGTAGATCACCTAAGGCTACAACTATAGAACAGTTATTCTGGGGCATCAATAAAGTGATTTCTTTTTGTTATTATTAAAGGTAATCGTTTCCGGATTGTGACACATCTCTGAGCAAAAAAAAAAAAATCCTAAAAATGAGGCTCCACAAAGTTTCAGGTATACCATTATTCTGGTGTGAAAAGCCAAAGAAAGAGAAAGATGCTTTGATTAGCTAAAACACAGAACAAAATGCCAGTTTATTGTTACTCTGGTCCAGAGTGTTTGGAGGTAAACACTACAGCATATTCTTGTTTTATGTGTCTTTTAGATGAAATCTAAATGCAAATTTAAGAATTGATATATAAATGTAGGATTCAGGGATGTTACCAGGGCCGCCATTAGAAATTTTGGGGCCCCCTACACCCTACCTGACAGGGCGCCCCTCCTGGCTAAGTAGTGCACAGTGAGATGCTGCATCATGCTCTAATATACAGGAGGAATAGAGCAGAGGTTCTCGCCCTTAGTGAGACCAAGGCCCAGTAGTTTTCTTCCAACATCTCCCTTAACCCCTTCATGACTGAGCTTGTTTTTAGTTTCTGTTCGTTTTTGACTGAAGCACTTTTGACATTTTTGCGGTGTGATTCTTCCACGTCAGTAATATACATTCTTAAAAAGGGCACCCACACATATTATATATTGTTTTTTAGAGGACAGATAGGGCTATATATTTATATCACATATGTGTACCTAACGCATCACTAAGGACAAATAAAACATAAAAAAAAAGAGGAAAACACTTTTTACCCAGTTTTGATTTGTAGTTTTTACAAAAACAGCACAGCTAAAAAAAAAATTCAATAAATACATTCATTTATTTGTCCTTTATTTGGAAAAACCTCACATGCCTAGGATTTTAGAAATGTTTCTGTACTACTCGGCCTAAAACTAAAAGCTAACATTTAAATTTTTTCTCTAAAAGCTAAAGCTGAAAGTGGTCACCTGGCATACAATGTCACTAAGGGGTCTATTCACTAAGCTGCCGTAGGCCGCCGAGTGAAAGACCGACCTGAAGTGAAGTGAGCCGAACGCTGTTCGGCTATTCACTTCAGGCTGATACGGCTTATTTCAGCCGTATATCGACCTAAGCTAGCCGAAGGATCGGCCGAAGCTACGGGTAGATCCTTCGGCTGCTTCGTGAATAGACCTATAAGGGTCACACTTTGTGACAGCGATATACTTTGAACATCACTGTCATGAGGGGGTTAAAAAAAATTAACCCCTTAGGGTGAAAACCTTTAGGGGAGAAGCCTGTCCATCAATTGGTTACTATGGCAAGTGGGCAGTACCATCCTTCTTCACTGCTGACTTAATGGGGACCGGTACAAGAGTGCTGGCTGTAGCCCCCTGACAGCGGCCCTGGGTGTTGTTAGTGTTGTGAAAGACCTGGGGCGTCCCTGGGCACAAAAAAAAATGATGTGGTGGGCATAGCGTGCTGTTTGCGAATGCTAGTTGTGGCCACACTGTGCTGACAGTAGGAGGGGCTAAAAGAGGCATAACTAAAAACACAGCTTGTGCATATTTGCTGAATACACAGCACACATGCCAAAGTCCTTGCACCTACAAAAATTGCTTTAAATACTATTTCACAAGTGAGAGTCTCACAGTCCCATATAAGCCATAGTACAATCATTTTTATAGGATTTGTTTGTCCAGTCAAAACTTTTTTTTTCTCTTAATTTAGGATATAGCAGGGCAGGTTTAGAATCCCTGCCAGAATTTAAATCCGGGGCTCCATTAAAGACTTACCCTTACTCTCCTCTACTGCTGATAGCATTTTACAAGGCAGAAAGTGAGAGAAACAGCAACACAGACAGAAATATTTTTTTTTTACTTTCTTTTTTTAGTAGAGATGGGGAAGGTTAAACCCCCTGTCAGATTTTTATACCAGTTTGTGTCCCTGTTGCAGATTTGTCTTCTGTGCCCTACTGTGTCTGTCCGCGTGCACGCTGCCAGCTGCGTGCATTGACTTACACTGTGTCTCTCCTCTTCTCCTGGCCCAAGATCTCTACTGCGCATGCGCTGCCCCATGATCCTTCATGGCCGCTTGAGAATCTTCAGATCTTCAGACGGGAGCGAGCGGCAGAGGCACAGGTAAGTAATTACCTTTTTGGTAACTTTTTTATATTTTTTATGCATGCAGAAAATCAAAGAAGCTAACACTTTGTCTAAGCCTATGTTTAAAGCTGAACTTCAGGCATGTAAATGAATGCGTATTAGTGTACTTGCATGTAAAATATACCTTATTTTCGAGGCTGTTTTTGTTCTCTCCTATACTTGTAATAAAGGAAAATGCAGGGCTGGAAATTGCAGCGAGGCACACCCTGTTATCGCAACCAGTCACTTCAACATGCTACCTCTATAAATTTTTTTGCAGGCAGTGTGACATCAGCGCTATCTAAACTAGGGGGGCCCTGCCAGAGCTATAGTCATCTTACTCTGCCTCCTGCTCCAAAGCCGAGCTTTCTCCGTCACTGAAAAGGAGTGCGACACTGACTGACACTGGGGGGGAGGCGAGGGGCACTGACGCTATGGGGGGGA